CCAATCAAAAAGATACATTCATTTGATAGCATTACTTGACATATAAGTACACTAACAAGCATTTCAGTACAAATAGTAAAACGTATTTCTTCTTGAACAATACCCTCATTCATCACACCACCACCCTGTAAACTTCCTTGTCATTTGTTAAACTAATACGAAGAAATTCTTTTTCTTTTTACTCACAATAAATTCATTTGCAAAGTCAACTTGTAAAAGACCATGCATATCTTCGATAGTTGTATCTTTTCTTAGATGAATTTTACAAAGTGGTTTTTGTGATTCGATCCATTTCGGTATCCAAGCATCGGGAAGAGCAAAGCGTCGAAAAGTAAGAACACCTTTTGGCACTAATTGTATAAAATACCAATACGAAACTTAAGAAAATAATAACAAACAAAGTGATGACTACATACTATCTTCGCAGATGCGCCGAAAATAATGTAAAATACATTTCAGTTTTTCAAGTTTCCAGGGTGATCCACTTCGAAAAAGACTATAATCGGAAAAAAGTAAGAATTTTCTTGGAAAAAAAAAGACTTTCATATTTTTTCTTACTGGATAAAATTGATGCTCTGATATGTTTGATGTTGGTTACTAATTTGATCATTAAATTGATGAGGAAAAAGACAAAAAAAGGCACAAGCTAGTAAAGAACCAGCCTGCCGTTGAGACATTGTGACGGAACGATAAGTTCCATTGCGTAATAATGGTGGTGGCTTAAGAAAAACACAGATAAATTATAAGAAAATAAAGAGCAATTTAGTATAAACCTGGCTGCAAATATTGCCGACATCAAGAGCAAGAGAAATCATTTTGGAAAGAATGATGGATATGAATTGAGCCCGTTCTTCAGCAGAATAAACCTAATAATAATAGCAATATTCATTGAGTTATACTAAATGTGTGTGTAAAACATTACTTGATTAAGTAAATGTTCTAGACAGCCTATTTCAAAACTAGTTCCGTTGCTCTCTTCTATTGCTATCTAAAAATTGAATATTTTATATCTAAATGAAAGCAAAAGCCACAGTATATTACTTTAATGTCATTGACGGTGGCTGTTTTCTCATCACACTTTTGTTTGAGTTGTATCAATTTCTGTTGAATAATCGGCCATTTTTGTGTTCCATCGTTCTACGAATAAAAATTCGATATGCATTAACAGGTAGTTTTAGTTTAAACCCACCATTACATTAAATGGCGAACATGGCAAATGAACATAATCATCATTCCATATATCAAAATAATTTCCCATTCCATGAATTGGTTCTGGTTCGAGATTAGGATTCGATGAATCATATTTGAATGGCTATTTAAATGAAGAAAATTTTATTACTATGTATTCAGTGAATGTGTATTTCATATTATACTTTGATCATAAATGTGTGACCAACATCATTAATATCTTGCATATCTTTTAGAGTGGGAGCTGCTTGAAAAAGATTAGGAATATCATTCAATGGTACTCCCTAAATGATCATTGAAATCTTACGAGAAAACTGAAATTATATAAATCTTACATGAAAAATTTGATCGGTAGTCTCGTTATTTTTTTGTTGTTGATCAGTCATGTTCGAATTTGAACTTGTCAAGATAAAACTATCTATGTGGAATATTTCGTAATATCTTCACGAGTATTATCTTAGACATATATTTGAATAAAGATTTTTATAAAAGAGTATCATCAGAAGTTTTTCTAATTTTGAAGTAAATAGTTTCAAAAAATTTTTGAATTACGAATTTGTTAAGATGTACAAATATTTGAAAGAGAAACTCGTTTGAAATTCTCAAAACTACTGACATTTCTTTTATTTCAAATCCAAACATTACTATAAATATGATTGAGAACACTAGTTGCTCTATCCTTTCACTTTCAATTTTTCTTTATTTCAAGTCATCGTTGAAGGCTGAAAAATAAACTTTTTGACATGCTTACGTTCTCTCTGTTGTTCTTTGTAAAACAAAATGTAATTACAGACTACAAATTTTGTCAGTTTCTTTTATCGACGCAAAAAACCGGTGATAAGAAATCGAGAAAAAAAACAGTTGCTTGCGCTGTTTATGCACATTTTTGTCAAAATATGATAAACAGGGGAAAAACGAGAATACTTATATGCAACAAAGGAGAATCACTATGAATGTTACTCACGTCTGAAGAAACGAGCCTATATAAGAAAAAAAGAACAAAATAGTCGTAAAAAAATGATCAAAAAAAGTTTAAAAAAAACTTATTCGGTTTCCTTCTACAAACTACAAAGATCGAATAAGAACGCTTGTAAAAGATCGTAAATCGTCATAGCAAGTAGCTTCGTATATGATGCAAAGTAATATGATCGTAGTACAATGCTATGTAATATGTCAAAATACGATCGTTGCCATTAGATTATCGTGCAAGACGTGAATTTTGTTCATAAAAATAGTTCGTTGAGCAGTGAAAAATAAATATGAAATAAATTTCTGAATTCTATTCAAAAATCTTTTATAACTTCATTTCGAACTTGAATGAACATCACTTTGTATCATCAGACGAATTTATGACAAAAACAAAAAAGTTGCATGTAATAATACAAAAACATTGTGAAAGAAGAACGAATAGATCAATTCTGGAAATGTATTTCGTTTGATTATCATTACTTTTTTGTCCACTCACACATTGACGAATTCAAAATATAAGTTGTTCTTGGTATACCTCGATCGAACTATTAAAAAGTCAAGGTATCTTAGATATACGTATAAATATTATAGAATTATTCATATTGAGATTTTTTTTTAATATTGTGAAAAGTATTTTCAGATTTTATTGAAATTTTGTTCAACATTAAAACTATTTTAGTTTCGATGTCGTGTCAAAGTTTAAATTTTATTTGAACTGAAAGTGAGACAATGAGTATTATAATATTTCTGTACTTCACTATGCGTACAGCTCAAGCAACTAAATCAAGTAGAAATAATAAATGAGCTGTTGCATCAAAGAGAAACTATTAATATTTGTTCTTTATATTTAGTGATTGCAATAATACTTATAAAATTATCATAAAATAATCTTTGGTTTCTCAATTTTCAGAACTTTCTCTCGGTATTATGAAAGCATAAGTTTACTAGATTGGTTGAAAAACTTACAACTTGATTAAAATTAATATGATATTTTGAATTACTATTAAAAATTGAGTCTACTTCTATGTAATTCAAATATCTCTTACGGTTTAATCAAATAATGAAATTCATTAAAACGCTCTTTTTTTTGTCGAATTATCTTTTTCTGACTAGAACGGCAGATAAACCAGTGGTCAATTTTTCTATGAAATAGAAAACATTTGAATCACACAAGAATCAACTCAAATTTTAATTGTGAATCAGAATATCATATTAATTTTGATTAAATCATAATTTTTCTAACTAATCTGCTAAAAACTAGTAAAATGCAAAAAATTATTTCTCAGAAATAGTACATTCCGACCTTTTCTAAAACTTTTGTTTTCACAATCTTTACAATGGTTTTGTAGAGCGCGAAGAGTCAATTTAAGTTTGTTGTGAGATATTGATTAATATAAAATAAAATATTTCTTAATTTCGTCCATTAAATGATCCTGTTGATGAATGCTTGATCGTTTGGCAAGACTTCCTTTTAACAATAGATCTTTCTAGATATTCTAAAAAAGAAAATATCAATGATTGTATCGGAGTCACTTAAATACAAAATACTTTTTCTTAACGTCAATAATAGGTTGTGCTTGATCCCTTAAACATGATTCGTCTTTTCTTTTTTATCACTACAAATATACTCATTATATTAAAACAAGAACACTTTCATTCAAGGTAAAATAAAATGGACAAAAAAAAAAAAAACGAACACAAAGAATTTACACAATCAAAAATGGCTAAAGGCATGAATATTATTTCAAAAAATAATCTTTGATCAATCATTTATTGTTCAAATACTATTCGATTGAACATTTATCTAAACAAAAAATTTCAATTAAATTCATGGTAATAGTCAAAACATAAATATAATTAAATATTTTATTGATTTGAAATATTGTATTATAAATAGACCAATTTTAAAATAATGTGTGAAATAAGCAGGTAAAAATGAAAAATATTTTTATTGATTGAAAATTTTGTTAACAAATATATAGATTTTGTATAGGTATATACATGTGAACAAAAAAACTAAATCGATGTAATAATCATTGTATGCATTCAATCGGAAAATTTTCATGATAAAAAAAAACTAATGAATATGAATTCTTTCATCTATTTGAATTTCTATGTAAAATTCATGACTGATAAGATGAAATAATTATATTTTCTAGATATATTGAATATATATTTATAGATAATCATGAATAAATATAAATTTGATTTGATTTATGTAGTTAAGACAGAGAATTTATTTCTTTTTCTTGTGTACTCAAGTAACTGGCCATGTAAGTTCTAGAATATGTTTGTCAGTATGATCAATGATTTTGATGACATTTATCAAGTATCGTATTAGGAAAAAGTAGAAAGAAAGATAAGAATGATTTTGACTAAATATTTTTGGATTCAGACATTCGATGACATTGCTGATAAGACTATATTTGATTATTCATGTTGTTATTTTTTTTATTTATTATTCTTTGCTTGCAAATCTACTATTATGTGTATAATTATTGACATAATAACATCTGGTATTTTATTCATATTCAAACATTATCAAGAACAATCTATGATTATCATTTATATTGTTCGATTTGAACTTTAAAAAGAGAACAAAAAAAGCAAGTCTACGATAGAGTTCATCGTCAAATCATTATAAAATGGTCACATCGTCTTCCTACGGTCAATTGTATATGTTCGATATTCATCTTTCTCTCGCTTTTTTTTCTCTTCTATCTCAACAATGAGTTTTAAATAAGAAGAACTCAGATTCTATACATATTGATATGTGCTAATCATTTGAAAAGTACAATAAATTTGTACTCCTTTTTTTTTTAATTGGTTTTTAGAATAAAAATATGAATTTCATACATTTTTCTATCGTATTAATATTTATTATTAATTGTTCTGCTGGTCCACTTGAAGATATGGCCAATATGCCTGATTTAACAGTAGTAAGTTTTGAAGCGAAATAAAAAATTGTTTTTTGTTTTTTTTCTTCTTAATTATAAATCAAAATATAGTTTTATCAACAATTAATGCGTCAACAAGATATACAAATGTTATTACAAGGTGCTTATCCTCAACAACAATTAGGTAGTATGCATGATTTTACAATATTTGCACCAAATAATGATGCTATGATGCATCTTAATCGAAAAAATGAAGATCCAAATTTACTTTGGAGATATCATATTGTACCTGGACGTTATGATGAACAAATATTATATAATATGGCACAAACAAAATTTAATCAAGCTAATCCAAGACAAATGATTGGTATTCGAGCACAAAATAATTTACCAACAATAGCATTACCTTTTCAAGTATAATATGTAAAATAGAAAAAAAAAATATTCGAAATTCAAATTTTTTCTTTTAAGGTTTTTTATGGTCTTGGATTTTATGGTGGAACAGGTCCACATGTAAATGAAAGTTATGATAATGCTGGTTATGGTTTAGGTGGAATATCTTGGTTAACACATACATCACTTAATCAAACAAATTTATTAGAAAATAATATTCCAATTAAACCACCATTCAGTATAAACAATAAAATAAAAAATAGTTCTAATAGAATTTGTATTATTTTCTTGGTTTTTTTTTTTAGTGAATAATTATAATCAACAACAAAATTTTTTTTCAAGACAAAGTACATAAAAAAAAAATAATTTATTTGAAAATATATTTCTTTTCTTTTTCAGGTAGTTCATTACCAAATAGTCCAAATTTATTTCCACAAAATTTAACAAATAATTATAATAATGCTTTTAATCCAAGTATTAATACACAATATTTTCAAAATCCTCCGATATCAAATATGAATTTTAATCCGTATATTCAACCACCAAATTATGGGCAAACAGGACCTGGTGGAAATGTTGGTGTATTAGTAAGTATTCATAGATGACATAAAGTTCATATTTGAAATAAATAAATGAATCATATTTTGAATAGGTTTATTTTGTTTCTTCTTTCCTTATAGTAGACATTTCCGTAGCAAAAATTTTATTACTTGAAGTCAGTTTTTCTCAAACGCATGATATATGAAAGCTTGAATATTGTATCACCTGACAGGTCATTACGAGCTTCAAATTAGTGTAACAAGTTTATTATCAAAGAAAGAATAACTCAAAATTTCTTTGCCATTACCTTTGGTTTAAGTGTGTTCGAAATATTAAGGTAAAAAACTTTTAGTTTGTAGAGCAAAATTAACCTCTCATACTTGTACAATGAGAAAATGTTAGCTTCATATTTAGAACTAGAATTTTGACAACGATACTAGGAATTTGCTAGTTGCGGACTTCCAGACTCATATCTCTTGATTATTAAAAACAAGTAAAATAAGTCAGCGTTAGTTCTTCATCTGATTTTTAAGTAGTAGATAAGTTTGTTTTTTTCCTTTAGATATTTTGATTTTGAATTTAAAAGAAATTCAATTGTAAATTTCCTTAAGAAAAAGAGTCAAACGGTGCACAAGAAAACGGGTCATTGCATTTCACTCACTTAATTTTGGTTAATCGGATTTTGATCAATATGATTAAGTATTAATATAGTCAGTTTGAAAGATATTACCGAAAGGAAAAAAGTTCAAAATAATCAAAATGTTGATTATGTATGAAGAGAAGTGTATTTATCAGGATAATAATAAACAAAATCATGAACCTATGAATCAATTCTCTTAGATGAACTTAAATGAAATGGTTTTACTCTTCCGATAACCAACAGCATTCATTCCGAAGTTATAAATATTTCACTCTGAACTTCTATTCACTTTTTTGCTATATTTTCATGAAAACTCATTGTCTCGCTGATTCTATGAACTCAATGGTTTGAAAGAAGTTTAGCAAAAATTCTCGAGAAACATGGGAAGAAAATCTATCCTTCGTGAGATTATACATTAAAAATTATTCCGAATATATCCACTGTCTTTGTATTTTGAAACGCCTTAACAAAGCTAACTTGAAGCTTTGGCTTGGATATCTATTCTATGAGAGTTAGTAATAAATTATCATCTATGTCATTTCATATGTATCTCAAGACATGTCCAAGGTCGACATTGTCGATTCTGATGATCATTATTAGTATGATAGATAGCATTACTGTAATTATATTGCGATGTTTTTTTTTATGAAAAAAAAAAAAACAAAATATTATTGAAGATACTTGTACTCAAATAGAAATAAATGTATGTTTTCATCAAACTTTTATTCTTATACAATAATTAGTCATATATAACCTTTTTTTTATTGAATTAAGTGAGAACATCTAAATTTAGTTTGTATATATATATATATCATATTCTCATCTGTACTCTCTACGACAAAATAAGGATATTTTCAATAGAAATTAATTCTTTCACTTTTTTAATTAATTAGAAAAGAACAAAAAAAAAAAAGAAACATACAATTAATTTCTCGTTTAGCGTCCTACTATTAACAATGCGTTCATATTACACACACGTCGAATGAGTCGTGGTATAATTCATGTAATTGATAGTATTTTATGGCCACCTGAAAGACGTGATCAAACACAATATAAAACAGCTTATGATGCACTTGAAGATAGACAATTTTCGTAAGATATACTTAATAAAAGTTTTTTATCCTTAATCACTACACAAAAAAAAATGATTTTATTTATTTAAATAGACGTCTTCGACTAATAGCTGAACGTAGTGATTATTTTCGATCTGAATTACGTTCAATGCATCATCAAACATGGTTTTTACCAAATGATGAAGCATTTGATAGTATGGGTACAACTTTAAATTTTTTATTTGAACCATTTTCTATCAATAATACTAATGATATAAATGAAGTAAGAAATTTGATGTTATCATTTTATTTCGTCATGTTTTTTCAATTAATAATTAACTAATTTAGTTTATTAAATCACATGTTATTCCATTAGTATTATATCCAAATACAATGGATGCAACTAAACACATAACAACATTAAGTGATAATAAAGGGATTACATTTCGTAAAGTATCACAACCAGATCATTCATTTCAAGGTAAGATATATTTTGTTTTAATTTATATATTTAATTAAAGAATTTTTTCTTTTTAGTTGATGTTATTTGTGGTCGACATGTAGCACGTATTTTAGTTCATCGTCCAGAAGATATTCGATTATATGGTAATGGTATTGTCTATCCTATATCAACTATTCTTAGTACACGAATTCGATCAGCTGCAGATGAACTATCACGAAGTTATGAGTAAGAATAGATGAATTAAAAAAAAAAAAAATCTTATCGTTTTGGTTTATTATTATTTGAGATATTTTATTAATCTTGTTCAGCAATCAGGTGATTTAGAATTAATGAATATATTACAAGGTGCACCTAATATGAATATATATAATCCACAAAATCTATTTAATATAACTGTACTTATACCACAACAGATAGCTATTCAACAATTGGGAAATGCACGAGAACTTAGTATGGTAAATAAAATATTTTTATAATTAGAATTTCATATTTGTTTAAATTGAGTTTATATTCTGTGTAGAAATTTATCTTGTATTTATCAAGTATAAACATAGTATTAATATGTTTTATCTCAATTTCTAATCTTAAATGAAACACTTCAATTCTCTATAAAGATCAACGAATAAACTCGATTTTTGTTTTTTGAAATATTTAAGTCTACTTAAGATCAATTTTGGAAGACTGAAGAGTTCTTTAAAAAATGCATTATTTAGTTTTTAAAAATACGGTCTTAAATTGTAGGATTTGTAAAGGAAAACACATGCAGTAAAAACTTTTGGCTCTTTTTTGCATTACGTCGATATTCGATGATAGTCTAGAAATTCTGAATACCATACAGCATGTTTGTAGGATTTCTATTGATATGTGTATTTCTCTTTTTTTCTAGCATTTACGTCGACATATTTTACAATTTTCAGTTTATACAGATGAATCGACGTCTCCACCAATAATGCAAAATTCATTTACTCAACAAAATATATATCAAACTGGATTACAACAACAAGAACCGCCACTAATACCTCAACCACAACAACCAATAATTCCTCAACAACAACAACCATTTATTCCTCAACAGCAACAACAACCGTTCATTCCTCAACAACCAATAATTCCTCAACAACAACAACCATTTATTCCTCAACAACAACCATTTATTCAAGGTGGTTTTAACCAACAACAACAATTTCAAATGCCACCATTTCAACGAATTGGCTCTCGATTAGACAAAAAAGAACCACGACGTCGTAGACAAATAAATATTGCATCAAATACAAATTTTCAATCACAACAATATTCTCAACAGCAAATGCCTAATCAACCAATACTACCAGTCCAACAACAATCGTCTAAGCAACAGATGTTACCTTTTCAACAACAACAACAATTCAATCCAAATCCTTATCAAATGCCTTCGTATCAATCTTCAGCTAACTTTCAACATGGTCAAATCTATCCAACAATGGATCCACAATATTCTATTCAAGCACAAATATCTACTGGTGTACAAGGAAATAGTAAGAAATGAATTATTCATTTATTATTATTTAATATTATTTTATTTAAGTTGTAACACTTATCGGTCGATCAATGAATTCTTTACCATTTACAGCAACAATAGTTAATAGTGAATCAAATATTCCAGTTAAAAATGGTGTTATGCATGTAATTCGAGGTATATAATTATTTTGTTCTTTTCATTTTAACAAAAATCTTGTTCTTGTAGGTATTGTATCTGGAATGATTATTCCACTTGAAGGAATTCTTACATCATTACAAGGAACACAGTAAGAATAATAATAATCTATTAACTTTGATATAAATTTCATTTATTATATTTAGATCATTTACACAATTACTTCAACAAACACGTGTTATTGAAGAATTGAAACAAACAAATCGTCCATATACATTATTTATTCCAACAAATGCAGCATTACAATCTGTTGGTATAACAACAAATATAAATCAATTAAGACGTGTAAATTCTTGTCGTTTTCAATAAATTTCAATAATCCTTTTGTTTTATTGTGTTAATTAGTTTGTTCTACGTCATATATGTGCTGATGTTCTTCTCGATCCATTGAATAATATATTACGTCGTTCAGCTGGTTTTTATAGTTATAATCAAAATCTCAAAAACAAACCAAAACAACAACAACAACAACGGTCTCGTCAAAAACGACAATATTGGATGTATAAACGACGAAATGATTCAAGAGTTATAAATAGACAAGGTTTACAACCATTGGATCTTGGTCCAGGTTATTTCCAACCACAACAACAAGCTTATGGTGGTTATCCATCTGCTCCATCATCATTTAGTTCTAATAATCAATTGTATAATCCAGGTTATGCTATAGGTGGTTATGTATCATCAAATTCAGCATATTTTCCAGGTTATAATGGAACTAATTCAAATAATCAAAATTTTAATTATAATAATAATAATAATAATAATATGGGAACTATAATTCAACCAATATCGAATACTGCTTGGAATGCAACAAGATATGTTCCTTTTAATTCACAAGTTAATAATGGACCTAATAATGAGGCACAAAATTTTTATACAAATACAGGTGGTTATGTTAGTGGATCAGCTTATACTAGTGGACCACAATCTTGTATTTCAATGACCGGTGAACGTATTACAGTTCAGTCATTAGTTGGTACTCAACCAGAAAGTATGAAAACTGGATGTTTCTTTTTTTTGTTTCTCTTACGAAATATAATATGCATTTGATTTGAGATTTACAAGAGAAAAACAATATATTTTGAAACAATACAAACACACTCGAATTTCTTATTATATTGATGCAAGTTTTTCTTACATCTTGAAAGAATATATTTTATTATCATATTGTTTGTAACTATAGTTCTGAGTTGAAATACAAAATTGTGACTTCGAAAAGCCGTAGTCAGGATGTTAATGATCAAGATTGAACTCAATCAAAACGAAATTAATTTGAAATTATTAGATTTGAAAAATGAAACAAAAAGAAAATTAGATTATTATCAAAGTTTAAAAAATTTCGTTAGAACACTTTCTTAATCAATCGAAGTTTTCTACTAAAATCCAAAAATGTTCGGAAACTTTTTCTTGTTAAGCAAATTTTTATATATCTTTGTAGTAAACACTTTACTCATTCTAATAAAAAAAAATAAAATATATTAAAATCTCTACAATAAGTTGTTGTCATGTTATACTGAAAATAATATTCACACCAGTGGCGTAGCCAGGAATTTTCGAGTCATGGCCAATTCACCAGCTAAACTATTTTGAGTTATGGGCAGCTAAGGGCAACCCAGAGATGTCCATCGCGGCTGAAAATCTGCCGCTGCCGTGATGAATTATAAAATAAACGTGCCGCCGCCGCGCCGCTGCCGCGGCGGTTTACAAAAAAGTGTTTCTAATTTCACTGCTGCGACTATATTTGACCAGAGATATTGGTACTAGTCCATCAGATTCATTCAGTCTCGGGGTGTTTCATTTGTAAACCCTGAAATTCTATTAAATTCATGCAGTTTTTCAATGTTCCCCAAAAAAATCCTGCCGCTGCCGCGATGGCCTTTTAAAAAACCTGCCGCTACCGCGCCGCTGCCGCGGTGATTTTTGAAAAAACCTGCCGCTGCCGCCACAGGCCATCGCGGCGCTGCCGCGATGGACATCTCTGGGGCAACCCTGATGATTTCAAAAATATCTATGGGCAATTGCCCTACCCCGGGCTACGTCACTGATCCACACATACTAATTTAAACCTTATATGTAAATTTCTTGTTGTTTTTGAATTTCATTTATACGAATTTAATTCTAATTGAAATAATTTTTTTTGTTTTTGTTTAGTCAATACTCCAAGTATGTCATATCAAAGTATGATTTTTCTTTAATATATATATATATTTATTTATTAGAAAAAAATTTTCTTTATAGATTTTATTGTAACATGTTGTAATGATCGATCAGTTAATGCTATGGTACAATCATATAATGTTTATCCACCAAATTTTGCTGTTTATTTAATTGGTCGTTCATTACTTTCACAAGGTCAAACAATCAATACAATGTATAATTCTGCAACAAAATCTATTTCTTCTTATTTCATTTTCTTTATTATTATTATAATTTTTAAACAAACACATCAATTTTAATTCATTTTGTGTATACAAACAAAAAAAACAAAAATCTGTGTTGTAATTTTTTTTTTTTCATTTCATGCATTTTCTTTTTTTTTTCACATACAAAAAAATAATAATAACTACGGCATATACACAAATATTATTTTATTAAACAAAAAACAAATTATCTTTTTTTTTTCTAATTATTATATTAATTTGTAATAGATAAATTTGAATGACTTGTATATGAATATGATAATGTTGAAATATCACGTTGATCAATAAATGGATGTTCTTGTATAAATAAATCATCACGTTTTGAATTATTTTTCATATATAATTTATTTTCATTACAATTAATTAACATACAATAAAATGCTGATGCTAAATCTGTTTGTAATGATAAATAACCATGATCAACTAAATTTTCACATAGAATTGAAAATTCAACAATTGGTTGTTGTTGTTGGTGGGTTTGAGATGATGATGATATTGATGATTGTTGACTTGATGTACTTATATCAAGTGATAATGTACGTTGTTGTTCAATTTTTTGACGTGTAAATTCTTCAATCATTTGACGTTTAAGAATTTTAGCATTAACTGATGATGAACCTTTAGCAAATTCAATTTTTTCATAATGAATTGGACGAATAAAATCATAATTAATTTCGGATAATGGACCGTCTACAAACAATATACATGACATAAATATTCAAGATAAAATTATATATTAAAAACAAATCAATTTAATTAAAATGATTACAGAAACTGTTAGTCTTTAGAATAATTTATAATCCGTCATACAAATTAAATGAATTAAAGAATAAACTAATATATTGCTTATGTTTTTCATATGATAAATATCTTACTTTCATCATCAATATGATGATTATCATCATGATCATAATCATCTTGATCATAATAATGTTGTTTTTGTTGTTGTTGTAATACTTTTCGTTGATTAATTAAATTTAAATATTCAATATTTAAATTAGGAAAATTATAAAAATTAGTTAAATCATTTAATGGACGTATTTTTCGAGCTAATTGCATTTGATTTAAACTTTTTTCACGTATACGTAATAATAGTGAACTTTGACTTGTACTAATAGATTTTTTATCTCGACCATTATTATTATTATAATTTAACATAATTTGTTCAATAGATATTTGATTAAATATATCAATACGAATATTTCGTTTTGGACCTTCTCTTATTATACCAGTAATTTTATGTGGTGTTACTGGTGCTTGTTGATGTTGAACAATTGATGTATTTGTTATTGGTTGAGTTATATTAAGTAAATTAGTAAATTTCCATATATTAGGTCCAGCAAATAATTTAAGTTTAGTTGCATCAAAATATGAATATTCAGATTGACCATCTTTTGAATTTAATAAATTTGGCATTTGATCAACAAATGACATTGTACTCATAAATGATGATGATAATGGAAGATTTGACTATATTAAATAGATATATTATTGAAATTAGAAAAGTTCTTTTATTCATAATATAATAGTAAATAGAATTCCGTTTGTCATGTAAATCCTAATGATCTATGAATATGTTGAAAAGTTTTCAGATCCTTCGATATACTATATTTTTTGATAGAAGAGTGAGTAGGGATGTACCAGTCCCAGTTCTGACTGGTGAACTGAGTCCTTTGATCTTTAGTCCATTAGTACTTTCTTTTCTAGTATATATTTGTCATACAGTAATTTTTAGGCTGTGATATAAGTTATGATACTGAATCCATTGGCTAATCATATATTTCTATAGTTTTGTTAATACTTACATTTATTGATTGTTGTGATTGAAAATTACCTAAATTTGAATACATAGTTGATGGTTCTGGATTACTTAATTCATTTAATGCATTTTTAAAAACTTCATTTGCATGTGATGGATCATCATTAAGATCTTCAATAGCAGCATGAATTAATTCTTCATGATTATATCCATCATCATAATTATTATTATCAATATCATCATTAGTTATACAAGATTTATTAATACTTTCATCCATTTGTACAAGACAACTTTCATGTATTGTATCAATAAATGAATTACTTGGAATTTCATTAAATACAAATTCACGTAATGTTGAATTTCCTACGAAGAAGAAGAAAACAATAAAATTAAATTAAAAAAAAAAATTTCTACCAAGAACATGATCATGTCCTTCATTTATTTTAATAACACTACGTAATAATATTAAATCAATCATATGATTTATTGTATTATCAAGAATATTATTAATTTTTGTTTCTTGTTCATCAATTTGAATATTTACATTTGTAAAACCATCAATAAGTGGATAATCACTTGATGAATACATTGTATTTGATACCATTTCAGCATATATAGAATCAGCACCAATACCTCCACGCCATTGACATATATGTGGTGATTGTAATGGACGAAATTGAAATTCATGTTCAAGTGTAATTTTTGATAAATCAGTTAAAATAAATGTTGTTGTTGTTTTAGCTTTATTACGACGTACTGGTTTTTTTATTTCACCTTCTTCACAATGAATATTTTCACTATCAATATCAGTTCGACCTTCTTCTTTAATTGTTCCATTAGGTAATTCTTCTTCGTCAGTATTTAAAATATTACCACTTAATTTTTGAGTTTCTGTATGTAATGCATCAACACGAAAACCATAAATTTTAGCACTAAAGAAATGTAATTTTTTTTTTTGTAAATTCAATATTTGTTCAATTTTCAAAATTTGTATTTTACCTTGTATCAATAACTGAACCAGCTTTAACAAAATTTGGTCCTAAATTATGATTATCTTTATCATCAAGTGCAATAACATTTAAAATTTGTGGTAAACGTTCAACAAGTGGAATATTAAATGCATTTTTAATATTTATTTTTCCTTGTGTTGCTAATTCAAGTGTTTTTTGATATAAATCAACTAATTGTTTTGGTGTTTGAATTGGTTCATCAATACCATTCAATGAATTATTTAATATACGTGATCGTCGTCGTCCTGTAAGACTATCATTAAGAGAATTTTCTTTATCATCAATATCATCATCTAATTCCGAAAGTTTTCTTGTACATCGTCGTGCAGCTAATGAACTAAAATAAAAAACAACTTGTATTTCACATTTTAAGATTTATTTCGTTTTTTTGTTACCGTCGTGATGCTGGTGCAGGCATATTCGTTATTAATGACAAGAACAAACGAACAATTTTGTCTTTGTTTCGTTCGTTTCTCTTTCCGCCTTGTCATTTAAAAATAACCAATTCAAATTCATAGCGCCACCTTCTAATAATAATAAAAATTTAATATTGTTTTTTTGTAGTTGTTCGTGGAAACGATTTGATAATGGAGTAATAAGATTCATTTAGTTAAATTAAAAAAAGAAGAATTCAACGTATGGCTGACGAGTCAAAAGAAGATCTTGATAAATTTCTATCAAAAATTGATGATATACGTAAGAAAATTTTAATTAAATTATTTTAAAATGATTTAATATTTATAGATCGTATTGTTCAAAATTTATCTTCAAATGATACAAATGAAGTATCAAAAGCTATGGAACAATCTGATGTATTACTTAAAGAAATATCAAAAACAGGTTTTGATCGTACTATAATAAATAAATCATCTTCCGAATCAACACAACAACAACAAATGTCACCAGGTAAATCAAAAAAAAAAATTTTTTTTAAATAATTTTTATTTTTCACATTTTAGATGCATTTATGAGTGCATTAGAAAAAGATGCTCAAGAACGTAGTGAAAATCGTCGTAAAAATAAAATTTTAGCTGATGAATTAAAAACAAAAGGAAATAATGCATTTCATCAACAATTATATAATCAAGCTATTGATTATTATACAGAAGTAAATTTGTTAAATTTAAATACATAATTTTTTTTTTCCTATTTTAAATTTTTATAGGGTTTAAAATTAAAAAAAGATTATGATATATTATATACAAATAGAGCACAAGTATATGTTAAACAAGAAAGATATAAAGATGCAATTGATGATTGTGATTGGGCTTTAAAAGTAAAAATTCATATATATGAAATTTAAAATTATTTATATTTTTTTACTATTTAGATAACACCAACATTTATAAAAGCATATATAATTAAAGGCAAATGTTTAATGAATTTAAATGAATATGATCGTTCTAAAGAACAATTTATTCAAGCTGAAGAAATAGCAATAAAAAATTTTGAATCTATAAATATACGTCGTATGATAGAAGGCTCGTGAGTAAATAGAAATATTTGAATAGATGTTCGTTTGTTTGTTTTTTTTTAAGAATGTATTCAAGAAGTTCAACGACAACATGAAAAATATCAACGAGAAGAATCAGCACGAATATTTTTATTAAATGAAGATTTATCAATACCAATGAATTTAACTAATACATTGAAAAAATTAAATATAGATAAACAACCAATTATTTATTATATTGGTGGAATTGATCTTCTATGTCAATTAATAAAAGATGGTTTAATTTAAATGAAATTCATTATTTTTATTTAATTTTTTTTTTTCTTATTTTAGAAACAACTCGAACAGCATTTCGTATTAATAATGGTTTTAATTTATTTAATTCTCATTCAATTATAATAGAAAATGAGAATGAAAATTTATCAGAATCAATTTTTAATCTAATGATAATTCTTTGTCAAGATGATGGTATGAAAAATAAAATTCTTACGAGGAAACTTCACCAAGTGATTAAATACTGAGATTTTCTCCATAGGTAGGACCTGTTGAAACTAGAAAAATCTCAAAGAATAAGTCCACATAGATCTTTCTTCCAGCGCTATGATCGATTTACTGGATTTTCAGCCTATTTAGAAAAAAATCGAATCATGAAATTTTGTCCGTCCCATGGTCTGACTTCTCAGTGAAATGTAAACATTTCTTTCCAATTCATTATCTCAAGAAAGAAAGATCCAGTGTCGTTGAAACTTTTAGCGTATACTAAAGATCATGGGACCTACATAAGGACAAAAGTTGAGGTGGAAATTTCATCATTCGATTTTTCCGAAAACCTAGGAAATCGGTCATAAGGCCGAGGAGGACTTAACCTTTTAGGCTGTTTCTAGCTTCATCAGGTCTTACCTATGGAGAAAATGTTAATTCAAAAGCTTTTAATTACTTGGTGAAATTTTCTTGTTAGTAGTTTTATTTGATTAAAAATGTGGTTTATCTTCTGTAGATGAAAATACAAAACAATGTTTAGAATGTAAATTTTTCAATAATTATTTAAGAAAAAATATTTATTCAATAAAAGCATTTCAATTTCTTATTGAAATTTCATTAAAAAATCAATCACGATTAATTTTCATAGAAAAAATTATACCAAATAGTTTTATTCAATATTTAATAAATATAATTAATGATAAAAAATTCAATCGAATATATGCTGCAAAATTATTAAGTAATTTAGCTATTGAATCAAAGTAAGATTTTTTTTTTATTTTGAAATTTTATTCGAAATTTTTATATTTTAGAATTAAACAATATTTTAGTAATAAAGATGAACTAATAAAATTAATTGCAATTCTAGTAAGAAATTAATGAGAAAGGATATGAATGAAGAGACGATTAACATCCATGCTGACAAGTTTTTTTGTTTTTGTTTATAGAAATCATCATCAATTGATGAAGAAACTCGAACTGTAATATTATCTTTATTAACAAATCTTTGTTCAGAAAAACATATTCGATTTTGTGCTGTTAATCAAACAGAACTTTTTCAAATATTAATTGAAGATTTAGGACAATATGAAAATGAATATGAATTAAATTTATTAGGATTATTAATTAATCTAACAAATGAACAAAGTTCTACTCTTGAAGGATTATATAAAAATGTATTGTGTTGAATTTAGAAAAAAAAAAAAAAGAAAAGTTTTTTATTTTTTTTTTTTTTTTTGAAAAAATTCTAACTAAATTTAAAAATTCTTCACATCATCAACGTATATTTACATTATTAGGAAATATTGCTATGTATTATGAACAAGCTATTAATATTCTTATTGAATATAATATTATTTCTTGGATTAGTCAAATATTACAACAAGTATAATTATAGTTAATTAATGAAATAATATATTGAATCTATTTCGATTTTTAGAATATCAACGAAGAAATGATTCGAGCTGGTATTAGACTTTTAGCATTATGTACACAATCGAATGTACAAGGACAACAAACTGTTGCTAATGATACTAAACGTAAGATTTTTAATTAACAAAAAAAAAAAGAGAATATTTATTGATTGATTACTTTCATTCATGTCATGAATTTAATCTATGTTATAGAAATATTTTAAATTATGTTTATTTTATTTATTCTTTTAGTTTTATCTCTTATCTATGAACAAATAATAAAAAGTCAAAATTCTTTACTTATTGGTAATGGTTCATTAATATTTGGACATATTATTATTCATTCATCAGCACGTATATTTTTACGAAATAATCTCGGAATAGAAAAAACGATTGGTCAAATGTTAAAATTAGTAGAAGAATCATGGTTAAGTAAAGCAGCAAGAAAAAATGTAGCTATTTTTATTACGAAAATGGTTAAAGCTGATGAAAGGTTATAGATTTAGAAATAAGAAATTTAATCTATTTTGTTTTTGTTTTTAGCTTTTTGCAAGAATTTCGAAAACAACATGGTACTGAAATTCTTCATTCAGCTCTTAAAGATGTTGAATTATAATGAAAATCTATGTTTAATAAAAAAATTGTTTTAATCTATAACTATATTGGTTTTATTAATAATTAACATTTCATATACTTTAAAAAGTATTTGTTTGATATATAAATAAGTTTTCAATACACTGTATTCCAACTTTTGTTACATTCTTATTTTGTAAAAGTTTTTCATTTAATAACAACAGGAGTCATAATATTACTTTCTACATATCAAAAAGTACCAAATGCTAAAATTTTACTTGAATTCAATGAGGCAAGTATACGCGATGTTTAAGACGTATAGTTTGAAAAGAACAATATGCGCTGTTCACATTTCATCGGTTTTTCAATTAGAATCGACTTCATATGCTTTCATCTCAATTTCTAGATGGAATGTTTACATAAGGCGAATATTAAAAATTTTATAAATCATATTCTGTTCGTTTATTTTTATTTCGAAATAACAAAATAACAGTTATTTATTTTATTTTGTACTATCATTTGATGACCATTGATTAATCCATTTTAATAAATTTTCAATATTTTTTTTTAAATCATCTTCAGTTTCATTTGTTATTTCATGAACAATATTTTCATCAAATGATTCTTGTGCTTCATCGAGACATACTTGAAAAATTTCTGATTGTATATTTTGTTCAATTTTTTTTTCTGAATAATTTCGTTGTTTTAATCTATTATATAATTTATCATTACAACAACGAATAACAAATACACCATGAATATGATCACTATAAGGTACAATTCCTGCACTATGATAATCAATAATTAAACCAGATGGTAATGATGATTTTTGAAAATATTCATTATCAAGATAATCATATACAGCATCATCATCTAATATTTGACATTCATTTTCTTCATCATATTCAAGAAGAAATTTTTCTTTTTTAGCTAAATCATTAACATTAATATATGTCAATGATTTATTTATTGAACATAATTCTTGACAAAGACGAGATTTACCAACACCTAGAAAAAGAAAATAAATATTATTAAAAATTATATGAGAAATCTAAAATAATATACCTGGTGTACCACAGATGACAATATTTGGAAGTTGTTTGGTTGCACTCATCTAATAAGAAATATAGAAAAATTATATGTACTCTTTTTAATAGAAAATATTCAATATCTGACTGACGAAAGCTTCTGATATATATATAAAAATCATGTCACCAATTGCAATGAGAAAACAAAGATGGCGTTTGTAATCGTTTTAACATTGTCAAACTAATAATGGCAAATAGCTATTAGAGCCGAGTAACTCAAGAATTTTGAGAAAATGATCTGAATTACACTAGTTAGAGTAATTCGGATCATTCTAGCAATTTTAGCTGAAGAGAACTTTGAAAATTTTTAGCAGTTTTTGAGTAGATTTTCAAGTGTTGTTCTTCGGACAAAAAAAAATGTTCGTTTCATTTTCCTCTATCTTCTTAGGTAAAATGAGGTAAAAATAAACTG